TCATCTGGAAAGACTTATAGAAACTTTTTTACTACTAAAACTTACTGGATAGGAGGTATCTCAACACTAGAGTCATTAACTCGGACTAAGTGATAGACACACCCTTTGGAAACTAATTTTCTCTCCTAAAGGTATGAAATAAAATGACCCTTAGGCACTGCTAAACTGCTCTTCAACTCTATGATTGGTTCATTGGAAACTGGAACTTGACTATTCGAGTTCTACAATCTATTGATGCATAACAAGAAAGAAGCCAGTCCATACCTAGAATGACATCAAAATCTACCATGTCTAACTCAACTAAATCAGCCATGGTACTCTTGTGATTGACGAAAGCGGAACAATCACGATAGACTCTTTCTGCTAGAATAGACTCACCATCAGGTGTAGAAACACTGAATGACTCAAGAAGTTACTCAGGAAGAACATCAAAATTGAAGACTTCGATCATACTAGTGACAACATCTGGCGAGTCCTCTTGCTCTTGGCTACTAGTGATAACTTACATACGGTTTCCTCCTCCGTCTGCCCCTGAATTAGCTCATCTTAATGCAGCTCTATCTGGTGGAGAAACTGAAGAAGTCTGGGCTCTAATTCCCCCATTACCATTACTTTGTCTGCTCTTAGGACACTCTCTCATAAATGACCGTTCTGGCCACACTTGAAGCAACTGGTGGAGTCATCACGACACACCCCTGAGTGGCTCTTACCACACTTAGCACATGCAAGAGTCTTAGTACTCCCTTGTGCCTTACTACCTTGCGAATACGCATGTTTAGCTCTGAAGTTTTGAGAATTCTGACTATTGTACTCATATTCGTTCCTTGGTGCAGGTGCACTAGCAGATGATGGAGCAGGTCCTTTCTGCTTATGCTAGAAAGAAGACCAGCTCACATTACTCTTTTGCTGCCTGAATTTATTCCCAGATGTCTTAACTCTCTTGTTCTTAAACTCTTCCCTAGCCCTTAGTTTGTCCTCCTCAACTTGTTGCACATGGATCATCAGCCTAGTTATGCCCATGTCACCTATTAGCATGGTTGCCTTACTTTTCTTATTTGATAGACGAGGCAACCCAACAACGAATAAACTCATCATGCTCCTTATGTCGGCAACCATCTCTTTGCTTCTCTTAGCTCAAGAGGAAAGAAACGCCTCATGAAGGCACTCTCGACCATAGGCCAGCTCAAAATTGGTTATGCGTAAGCACGAGTAGAAAGAAATTTTATAGAGATTAACTCTATCGTACGAAATGAATATAAAAGAAGTGAGATATTTCCTAAATGTTGCAGCCTCATAATTATAGATGTAGCACGCTTCACACCGATAACTAGGACTCTACAGACACGACTTCATAGACTCTCTAGGACTCTTGAACTCTGTGCTCTGATACCAAGTTTGTCATGCCCCGAGCCTACACCCTGGCGGGACTGGCACTCGAGAACTATTGTTGGCCTCAAGCGAACCCTTGGTCTGGCTTACTTATTCAACGGAAGACTTAATTCAACAAAGACAAGTCTATGTAATAAAATGGAATGTTATAAAGGAACATTTAACTGGCCATTAAGGCAAACTCAAGCCTTAACATAAGATAATGACAATGAAAAGAATAAAGAACTAACATCTGACTGTCTATGAAGCCTCTAAAACAACTGAGATGGATGTCAGGACAAACCCCACGACATCCTAATGAACTAATAAAATAACTGAAAGAAATAAAAAAGAGTCATCCGGAATGCAATGAGGCTCACCAACTGACTCTGGAGTGCTCCATGGATCAATGATGCACTGGATGCCGATCCTAGTTACATGTGTCTGCATCATAATAAGATGCATGCCAACTGGCATCAGTACATTTAATGTACGAGTATGCGACTTAGAATGCTAAACACAACATAGGCTTGAAAAGAATCTGAAGAATTTACCTGGCTCAACTCAACTCAACATAACTGAACTCATTTCAATATAAAGCAGTGTAAAACAAGTGTAATATAAAGAAAAGTTGTTTAAAACATGATGTCAACTATGTGTGTATGCAAAGATACATATAACTCTGATGTATGTAAAAATACAAATAAACTGTGTATTTAAGAATACAATTACTTTTGTAGGAGTTTCTCTAACTAATAACCATCACGTAAAGGCTATTGTGATGATACAACGTTTTGCCTCATTGTGCCATGGCCATCCTATACCTTGCCGAGGGAATAGAACCTGAACTACTAAGTGGATACACTAGTCTATGCTAAAAAGTACTAAAGGAATCATCTAAAAAGTATGACCTTTTTCTACCCATGATGACTACATGGTTTATAGGGGATGTGAGTTGTCAAAACTCTCCCCCATATCGGTGCTCAATACTACTCCCAAAAATGTGATATTAGCTCTTATGTTTAAAAACATACTTCTTTCTGTGATTTGAGATAATTGCTCAAAAACTTAGCTCAAAGGCTATCTTGGAAATCATAGTTTCCTCTTTTGCTTCATTTAGAAAGCGATTTCTCTTTTCTGAAAACTAGTTCAAAGGCTCTTTGGAAATCAAAGTTTCCTTTCTTGTTTAAATGTGAAAACATTTTACTCTTTGGGATACATAGTCCCGATATACTCTTTTGAAGAAATAAACTTCAAACTTTACTCTTTAATCTTTACTCAACTTGAACTTTAAGTCTTAAAACAAAGTTAAAACATTTGGAAAAGACTTTTGAAAAACTCCAAGAACTTCCTTAACTTGACTCTTACTTCTCTTGACTTTGATCTTAACTTTCCTTGAATTGGATTATGGATTCAAGGTTCATGATCTCATGTTTATGGATGATTTCATGATGTTTAGATGTACCTTAGAGTGTTGGAATCAACTAGAAAACATAGGTACATTGCAAAGGAACAAGTACGAAAATGTGGGAAACGAATGAGGAGAACTGGCGTCCCTGCCGCTTTGAGAGGGTGGTGGCCTCAAGATTCAGAGAACAAGTTGGGGCGCTCGGGCTGGCACGTTGCCCCAGAGACCCACATTCAGAGATTGTTTTGGGGCGCATTAAGAGGCGCGGTGCCCCAGCCCCTTCCCCAGAAAATCCCAAATTTTCTTCTTCATTTTTCAACTCTAAACCCTCTAATTTCACTTAGTTCTTTCCCCAAACACTTAGAATCATTTATACTCTCAATATATGGTAGATTCAAACCGAAATTACACCCGAAAAACATGAATCAAAGCGCAAGAAACTTCGACAACACAACCCATAAGAATTCAAACAAAACCTTCAACAATGTTCATCAAGAACTCAATTTCTAAACTTTCAAAGACTTAAATTTGCTGAATTGAATCATGGTCGGCGCGTGGGTGAACTAACCCAATGCTATGTGATCTCACACACCTCGTAGAGATCACCCCTTGAAGAAATCCACAGGCCAAACTCGACGATCTTGACGAATCTTGCTTCTCTTCTCCTTTCTCCTCTTATTTTCTCTTTTTTTTCTCTTCTCTCAAAACCCTAACTCTTTTTTCCAGAAGCGTAAACTGACTAAGTTCAGTTTAGACCCCTAAGTAATTACCAAAAATGAATTAAAATAAAAGGGTAAGGAAAAGACCAAACTACCCTTCTAAAATCCGATTTTAGACTTTCCTTATTCAAACAACCCAACTTCCAAAGGGCATAACTCTCTCATACGAACTCGGAATCGCGCAAACTAGCAACGTTGGAAAGATCATTCCAAGAGCTTTCTTACCATATCTGGAAGTACACCCAACCCATTATGAGCTAGAAGTTATGGCCATTTGAAGTTGACCAAAACTCAACTTATTCTAACTTAACAAAATTTCCAGATTTTCATTCTTTCCAAAAATGACTATTTGCAATTCTTAGTTTCTTCCTAGCTATTTCAAATTGTGAGATGTTACATATTATTCTACTCTTGTGACCACTACAATAAATATGATATTTACCTATGAAGTTATTAGCCACGACACAAAATTTGTCACTAATTATTTGTGACAAAATTTATATTTCGTGTTTAAATACACAAGTCATACTTTAGTGACGAAACACAAAATTTCGTAACTAAAATTTTGTCTCCTAAAGTTTCCCACCAAAAATGAGTTGGCGCCATTTATTGAGTAACATCAGCCGCAAATTTTAAGTTATCAGTGACATATTATTTTGCCACTAATAATTAATTTTATTTGTGACAAAATTATTTTTTGTCTTAAAATAATCTAAAATTTAGACTCTGGAAAATTTCATCACAAAAATATATTTTTAAATGACGTAAGCTTTAGTCACGAAATTGTATATTTAACTGTGACATTAGTTTTCGTCACTAATAATAAAAACAATTAGTAACAATCACTTTATTGTCTCTAATCAACTTGTGACTTTGTGACAAAAAAATTCGTCACAAAATATGCCATGTGTCAAATAGCAACAACTTAAATTTTGTAGTTGAATAATTTAACTTTTTTTCTCCTAAAAATAATTCATATCTAAATACAAAATGTTATTTGACTACGATTGTTAATGATTATGAATGACAATCGAAAATGAAAAATAACAAAATTTTAAGCCAGCCAGCCTAAAATTCTAGGAATCGCTAAGAGAATGAAAGTGTGAACACAAGAGGATTGCTAAGAAGAATTGTGTTGTAGAGAACTTTGTTGATTTTTTCATTTGATTTTACAAATGGATGGCCTCTGTTTATACTAGTAACTTAGGGGCTAAAGTGTAAATAATAATTGTTACATAGGTCTCTAGATATTTACAAAATAGTGGCCTCTCTCTAGAATCTTTTACAATACTAGAAAATTGGAAGGATAATTCCATGCAAATCTTAAAAACTTTAGGAACTTCCATAGGAAATCTCCCTATTTCTCTATAATCATCCACAAGGACAAGTCTTTTCTCTCATGTAAGTAAACTTTGTGTCATGTGGCTGGCGTTTATATGATTAGTGAAGTGACATTATTAATAATGCATGGTTTGAAACTTAATTAATATGCAGATGAAAGGAAAATGAATGATGAAGATAATGTATATAGAATTCTTGATCTGGCTGCTATGAAAGATAAGTGGAGTGTTGCTGAAGTAATTTTAAGAAAGGATCCAAGTTTGGTTCGTCAAAAGATATCGGAATTTGGTGAAACACTACTTCAAATTGCAATATTAGCAGGAAGCACCGGATTTGTGCTAAAGCTAATGACTCTGAAGGAACCAGATGACTTTGAACTGAAAACTAATAATGGGAATACGGCATTTAGTTTTGCAGTAAATTCAGGGTTCATTGAAATTGTTAAAGCAATGAGGGAAAGGAATAACAATCTACCAAACATCCATGGTATGGATTCTGCCGGCAGTGCAATATTTCCAATCGGTGTGGCAGCTATTTATGGGCATAAAGCTATGGTATCATACCTTTTTGAGGTCACAAATCTTGCTATGCTAAACCAAACAGAACGATTATCACTTCTTGAGATCACTACCCACAATGAGATGTACGGTACGTAAGCACAATCACATGATACTTTAATCAACAAGCTGAACTATGATTTGCATTATTTCTACTAATTTTCAATACCTACGTATGTACGACTTTTTTTCTTGTAGATGTAGCATTAAAAATATTCAACAAGGACAGAAAATTAACCACTCAAATGTTACAAGGAAATCTTGGTGTCTTCTACATATTATCTCACAAGTCCTTAGTTATCAGTAACCAACAAGGAAAGTTGAAGAGATCCATTGAAGGACCTTATAATTCTCCACTAGTACTGTGGAGAAAGTTTATTAGCGCGACTTCCATGGCCAGGAGCCGATTCATTACATGTAAGATTTAATTACGTATTGTCTTAATTAATTCCAAGAAAGTTGTAATAATTAATATCAATGTCTCCCTCTATTTTGTATGACAAGACAAGCTTAATATCGATCATCAGCAGCTTAGCTTGTAGTGCTGAAATTGCTAAGTTTTTCAGGGGAAAGATATATACTGAAGAAACAAGGTGGTCTACTACTTGAGGAGCTCTGGGCAGAGTGTGAAAGAAGTGGAGAGAATAAGCTATTGGAGCTAGTAAGAAGAGAAAAATTGCTCCATTATGCTGCAACAGCAGGAAATGTAGAGTTTTTAGCTGTGGTTATTTACAATCATCCTCGTCTCATATTGGACTGTTACCGAGAGTGGTCCATTTTCCATTATGCAGTTTTTCATAGACAGGAAAAAGTATTCAGTCTTATACACCAAACAGGAGGAATGAAAAACTTTCTTCTTCAAAAAAATGATACTAATGGCAATAACATGCTGCATTTGGCTGGGAAGTTAGGATATTCGAACTTACATGATAAGGTATTTCCTCTCTCTTTTTCAACAATACATGTTACTTCAGATACCTATTCCAATTTAAGAGGAAATATTATTGTATTCTCGATCGGTGTTTGGGTTAATTATTAATGAGCTGGTCGACAGGAGAAGATTATGCCGTCATCGTTTCTCAGGGATTCTGGAGCAGCACTTCAGATGCAAAAAGAGATATTGTGGTTTAAGGTGAGAGATGGAAACACATCTTGTTGCATTTCATATCTCTGTCATTTTATTTGTTCAGTATGAATTAAAGTCGCGTTTTCATAATGAATTAAAAATTTGTGTTTGCTGAATGATAATTACTAATTTGATAGGAAGTGGAGAAACTTTTACCACCTTCACTCCAGAAGATCAAAAACAAAGCTGGGAAAACCCCTAGGGAAGTATTCACGGAAGAGCATAACCTATTGCTAAAAGAAGGGGAAAGGTGGATGAAAGACACGGCAAATTCTTGTATGATTGTTGCAACTTTGATCGCCACGATGGTGTTTGCTGCAGGCTTTACCGTGCCAGGCGGTAATAACGGTGATAATGGAATTCCAATATTACTAAAATTAAATGCATTTAGGGTCTTCGTCATATCAGATGCGGTGGCACTATTCAGCTCAATCATTTCCATCATTATGTTCTTGTCCATTCTGACATCTCGCTATGCTGAAGATGATTTTCTTGTGTCATTGCCTGCAAAGTTATTGTTCGGACTCACGGCACTTTTTGTCTCGATAGTTAGCATGCTATTGGCTTTTACATCAACCTTCTTTTTGGTCTATAGTAATCATACGAATTGGGAGCCAAAGCTCATTGCTGCTTGTGCTTGTATTCCTGTAGCTTTATTTGGGTGTTTCCAATATAAACTATGGTTTGATGTGGCAAAATCAACATATTGGTCCAAGTTTCTTTTTCGACCAGGAAAGTACAAGCTGTATTAACTACATTACAGATAACAGTTGCACAGAGGAGTGTCTTCTTCGTTAGTAAAATAACGCGCAACAACATTTTACATTATTATGTAATCAGAGAATCAGGATTCTTGGCGGTGCCTTATTCCTAATTGTAATGTTTGTGCTTGAAACTTGAGCGAATTTCTCCATCAATGCTATTTTCAAGTGTTTGATTAGATTTATTATGAAATTCTTAGTATATCTTTGGCTAGTGGTGTTGCATATTGCAAAAGCAATTCCATTCCATCATGTTTATGCTTCATAGTATAGTAACTGGTAAAATCCTACAGAATCATGATACTTGTCTCGAGTCTCGACACTAAATCATAAAACACAAAATTGTCTTCCATCCACCCTACAAGAGTGTTTTCTCCATTAATGAGTCGTAGGCAATGCAAATTTAGATTAGTCAATAACGAAATATTAAAAGTATATCACAAGGAAGCTAGTAAAACGGGTAAAAACAAGAAATAATATCAAGAGTACGATTTCTTTTTAACTTGATATATACGCCATTTCCCATTTCATTTGAGTAATTATAATCAATTACATCCAAAACAGGACAAGAAATAATTCATTTGAGCCTATGGCTTTATAAAACTACACCTTCATTTCATTTATATTTTTTTAAAACATAAGATCCTAATTAATAAGCATAAATTAAACTGGAGGTGAACCAGCAACATCAGGGCCTGGAGCAGCAACTTCAGGAACTCCAGGGACTGGAACACCAACAGTAGGAACTCCAGGGATTGGGAAATTAAATGGATCAGTAACACCAGTACCCGTACCCAGACCAGGAATATCAAATCCAGGAATATTAAAATTCGGGATATTGAAACCGATATTCGGAATTCCACCTGGAAATGGAAATGGAAATGGAAACGGAAATCCTCCGATATTTGGAGTAGCAGGAGTTGTTGCATCATTTTCCTCCTTAAATAAATCATCATTTTCCTCTCTAAGCATTCTCACAGCACTAGAAAAGTTAATTAAACAAAGCAAAGTAATCAACTTGAGACAAGTCATTTTCATTTCTTTTCTTAAGAGTAAATTATATAAATTTGCTTACACTAATAAGGTGTTTATATAGAGGGATTTTGAGGTCCCTAAGAGTTAAAATTGTCAAAGTATAAGATTGTTTTAGATTTATTCACACTAAAAAAAAAATGTTTTGCCAGCTACATCTTTTAGCAATTTTTAGCATTTGTAATTAATGGGGATGGTTAAGGATATAATGCTAATTAATCTACTTTGACATTTTTTTTATGCAGAAGCAAATACTAGTTGTTGGTTGATGGAGAGTTAATTTTATTACACCAGGTTTTCAGTAAAGATGGTGAGAAAGAAAGAGAGAAAATTGTACCCAAATACTTATTTGGGCTTACTTTTTTTCATCTCATTTCAATGGTTGTTTAGCTCAAAAAAAATATCCCAATTTATTATTTCTGACTTTTAAGACTAAAGTTCACAATTGTTTTCAATGATAACCTTAACATTAAGAGAAAACACTCTTAAATTCAGCCCGAATTATTAGTTTCATTGTTGAACTATTGACAGTCTTAAAACACACTCATTTACTTGATTAACTGAACTTAAATAACCCTTGATGTTATAACATAAGTGAAATACACCCCTAAATTCTCTTCGAGTGTAGGGACATTTTCAACACTTCTCTCAGTTTTTTATTAAGAATCACATACTCCTACGAGAGTTTGAGACTACTTGCTATGTCATGTGCCAGATCGAAGGTGTACCTAAGTTTTACTTAGTCCGATAGAAGAGTTTTATTTTTGGACGGTCAATAATTTAGGAACAAAACTAATAATTTGAACCTAATCCAAGAGTACTTTCAATACTTTTCTTTAATATTAAAGAAGTACACCGTTTTTTTCTTAGTACTGCTTAATTTTCAAATTGAAATAACTGAGTAAGGCTGAAAAGATGGAGAGTCGCAGTTTGTACTTACTGTATTTTGATGTACATTGAACTCTGATTTCAAACATGGAAACTTTCAATTTACAGTTTGATATTTTGATTCATGGAAGAGTTTCAAAAAACTATAAACACTATAACACGCAAACATTTACTTCCTCCATTTGCTTTTACTTGTCGGGTCTCAAGTCGGAATCGGGAATTGGACCCTAAATTGGAGTTGGGAGTTGTGTCTTGGATCAAAGTCGGTGTTATAGTATTTGATCAAATTATATCTAAATGTTCAATATTTTCTTTTTACTACCAAATATAAAAAGTTAAAACAAAAACTTTACTTATTTTTTTGAATTATTTTTATTAAAAATATTTCTCTTTGTACCGAACATACTAAAACCATGAGAACTTATAAAAGTATGACACTACGTCACAATTTAGTCACTAGCAAATTTTAATTCGGAAACTAATTAATCCCACCTTATGAGAACGTGTTTGATCATGAAATTTTTTTATTTTTTTTTGGAGTTAAACATGAACTTATGTGTTTGGTCATAAAATTTCAAATAACAACTTCAAAGTTATTTTTCACTTTTTTCAATTTTACTTAATTCATGAACAAATACAACTAAATCAATTATCAAATATCTTTTTTCACTTTAAAAACAAGATTTTTTTTTTTCAAATTCTACAATAAAACATGCCGAGTATAAATCTGCCATTAGAGCTTAGCAAAAGCTGTAGGTAGAGTTAACATAGCTAATTTTGGTTGCTGGAAGTGTCACACCCCAATTTTTAAGCACTAAAAATTCAAATTTGGTCAAAAATCACGTGTCTAACCGTAGGCAGAGTTAAATAGCTAGTTCTGAAGTGGTATGATATCAATCAGGCTTCGTCTTCAAAGACTTTATGCAACATCAAGATTTGCCTATGCTGGATGGGGAGACTTTTTGGCTATGGAGAACAGAAGCTATCATTTAATGCAGGAATACCATGAATTTCCTCCAATAAACATGCTAGCGATTAATTCCCAGTTGAAGGAATTGGTTAAAAATGGTCAGTTAGAAGATGCACGCCAGATGTTTGACAAAATGACTCAAAGGGATGAGGTCACATGGACAAATATGATTTCTGGTTACGTCAATGACTCTAGTTCATTACAAGCATTGTCTTTATTCTTAGAAATGCGGCGTGATCCTACTATCAAAATGGACCCTTTTGCTCTTAGCCTCGCGGTGAAGGCATGTGGGCTAAGTGTGAATTTGAAGTGTGGTGAGTTATTACATGGGTATTCAATGAAAGCTAATTTTGTTAGTTCTGTTTTTGTGGGTAGTTCACTTGTTGACATGTACATGAAAGCTGGTAAAGTGATTGAGGGTTGTGGAGTTTTTGATGAAATGCCTCTTAGGAATGTAGTTTCTTGGACCGCTGTTATAACTGGGCTTGTCCGAGCAGGTTACAATGAGGAAGGGTTGGTGTATTTCTCTGAAATGTGGAGAGATGGTGTAGAATGTGATTCGTATGCTTATGCGATTGTGTTAAAAGCGTGTGCTGATATTGGGTGTTTGAATTACGGGAGGGAAATGCATACTAGGATAGTGAAGAAAGGCTTGGATGTGAGCTCTTATGTGGCTAATAGTCTTGCTACAATGTACAATAAATGTGGGAAAGTAAATTATGGTATGTGTTTATTTAGAAGAATGAAGTCGCGAGATGTTGTCTCGTGGACTACAGTAATCACAACATATGTTCAAATTGGTCAAGACCAATATGGTATACAAGCATTCTTGAGAATGATAGAGTCTAATGTGACTCCTAATGAATATACATTTGCTGCAGTTGTTGCTGCTTGTGCCAATCTTTCGAAACTACACTGGGGTGTACAGCTGCATGCAAATGTTTTACGTGTAGGTTTTCTTGATTCTCTGTCTGTGTCAAATTCAATTGTCACAATGTACTCCAAATGTGGGAAGTTGGATTCGGCCTCACTTATATTTCATGAAATGAGTAGAAGAGACATTGTTTCTTGGAGCACAATTATTGCTGGATATGCTCAGGCTGGTTGTGGTGAGGAAGCTTTCGAGCTGCTAACATGGATGAGAAAGGAAGGACCAAAGCCAACGGAATTTGCTCTTGCAAGTGTACTTAGTGCATGTGGTAGTACGGCAATCCTTGACCAGGGGAAGCAACTTCATGCTCATGTTCTTATCATTGGATTAGATCATACGCCTTTAGTACTGAGTGCTTTGATCAACATGTATTCAAAATGTGGAAGTATTGTAGAAGCCTCAAAGATATTTAATTCAGCACAAAATAATGACGTTGTATCATGGACAGCCATGATTCATGGGTATGCTGAACATGGATACAGCCAAGATGCTATAAGTTTATTTGAAAGAATTCGTTATGCTGGTCTAAGACCAGATTCTGTGACCTTCGTTGGTGTTCTAATCGCTTGTAGTCATGCTGGCCTTGTTGATCTAGCTTTTCACTATTTTAGATTGATGAAAGAGGAGTACAAAATAAGTTATTCAAAGGAACATTATGGTTGTATGATTGATCTTCTCTGTCGTGCTGGACGAATAACTGATGCTGAGAACATGATCAAGAATATGCCATTTGAAAAGGATGATGTTGCTTGGTCAATCTTGCTTAGAGGCTGCAGGCTACATGGTAATGTTGAATGTGGAAGCCGTGCGGCTGAGCAAATTCTTAAACTTGCTCCAAATTGTGCTGTGACTCACACTACTTTGTCAAACATGTATGCATCAAAGGGGAAGTGGGGTGAAGTAGCAGAACTGAGGAAGTTGATGAGATTGAAAGGCGTCACAAAGGAGCCTGGATGGTCTTGGATTAAGGTCAAGGATCAAGTTTCTGCATTCGTTGCTGGGGACAAAAAACATTCACAAAATGAAGATATTTATGATATATTGGATCTGATATCCTCAAAAGCAGAATCTTCTTTTCAGAATATTGTTTCTCTTTTGGAGTAGCCAAAACTTAAAATAACCCCTTGCTTATTTCCACAAGCAGCTCTGTTTCTTTGTTTCAACTTCATC